GGAGTGAAGAGTGATTGTGAAGGAAAAATACCTATGGAAAAATTGATTTTGAGCCTTCATATCCTTCTTTTTGATGACTTAACCCAAAGCCACATTACAAGCCAATAAAAGTCCTTATCAAAGAATTTAACAGCTTTTAGTTTGATCATGAATTTTTGTCAAAAAAAAAAAAAAGGGAGAGAGAGAGAGAGAAGAAAAGAGGGAAGAAAAGGGTGACGTAGCAAACTAAATGTTTCCTTGACTTTGAAAGTTGAAGATCAAATGATGAAAGGCTTTCTTTCTCAATCCCAAATAGTTAACATTGTCCTTTGCTTACCCTTTTTGAGCTAGAAAAAAGCAATCATCCAAATTCAAAAAAGCCAAGATGATTTTCTTCTTGTTAACCCACATTAATGACTGGGGTTGTGAAGAGAGAAATGTGAGGGGAATATATGAAGAAATTGATTTTGAGCCTTTATCCTTTCTTTCATAATAGCCTAACCTGAAGCTATGTTACAAGCCTATACAAAGTCCTTATTTGAGGGTTTGAAACTTTCCCTGTCAAAGAACATTAAAGAAAAAAGAAAAAAGGAGAGAGATAGAGAAATCCTTTCTTTAGCAAGTCCAAGTCAGTTAGCATAGCTAAAAGCTTTGTGGTTTATGATCAGTTTTCTAAACATTGAAGGTTAGTTCATGGGAAGGAGATAGATTTGATTTGTCCACCTTGGCATGGAAGTAAACATTGTCTCATATGCTAAAGACTGGATTGGTGGAGTTTCAAAGAAATAAATTCTTGAAGCAAATGCTTTATAGCTTGAATGTCTTCTAACCTTGTCAAAATTGTTGCATCAAAAGTTATGCACTTCAAAAAATCTTGTTGATCTCAAAATCACATCATTTTTGAAATTTCATTACATTGTTTATCCATATTCTGCACATTCTACTCTTCTATTTTTATCTATGCCCTGGCCTTCTTTTCCTTGTTTAGATTGGCATGCTAATTGGTTATGATGCTTTATTTCAGTTAATATAATTGCTGAAATCTCTTGACAAATCTACATAAAAAAAAATGAAAGTTGCAAAGAAAAGCAAAAGCTTGATTCAATGGTTATGGTGTGTATCCTATCTTGCAATGATTCGAGAATTTTCCCCAATGAACTAGAGATTCTGTCAAGTCATTGAACTTGATGCAAAGCATGTCATTAAGCCTATTAATGAATACACAACACAAAAGACATTGGACTCTTGCCAAGTAAAGACATCCACCATATGTTCAGAAAAGTTTCTTAACCTTTCTTCATTTTACATTATTTTCTATGTGAAAGTTGTCTCACTTGCATCTGTTTCATTGTTATAGATTTTTTACACATTACCTTCATCCAGCCCCTTGGTCGCGTTTACCCTCATTCGGTCTTGTTGCCACTCAACTTACTTGGCCATTAGATCATTTCAGTTAAAAATCATTTCAGCTCAACTAGCTTGGTTATATAACCATTGCTACTCAATCGACTTGGTCGTTTGATCGTGGCATCAAGTTGCGCAGTCATTTGACTGTTACAACTCAACTTACTCAGTTATAAAACCATTTCTTATTCAGTTAAAAAACTGTTTCTTGTTCGGTTATAAAACCATTTCTACTCAACTAACTTGGTTATACAACCATTGCTACTCAGCTGCTCAATCGTTTGAATGCGGCTACTCAACTTGTTCAGTTGTTTAACTATTACAATTCAACTTACTCAGTTATAAAACCATTTCTTGTTCAGTTATAAAATCGTTTCCACTTAACTAGCTCGGTTATACAATTGTTACTACTCAATTTGCTTAGTCGTTTGACTGTTGCAACTCAATTTACTCGGTTATAAAATCGTTTCTTGCTTGGTTATAAAACCATTTCTTGCTCAATTATAAAACTGTTTTTTTTTTGTTATAAAACCATTTCTTGCTCGGTTATAAAACCGTTTCTATTCAATTAGCTCGGTTATATAACCGTTGCTACTCAACTTGCAGTTATAAAACAGTTTTACTTTACTTGTTTGGTCATTCGACCGTTCGGTTATAAAATCATTTTCACTTTACTTGTTTGATCATTTAACCATTGTGGTTATAAAACCATTTTTACTTTGCTTGTCGGTCATTCGACCGTTGCAATTATAAAACTGTTTTCACTTTCCTTATTCGACAATTTGATCGTTGTGGTTATAAAACCGTTTTTACTTTGCTTGTTTGGTTATTCGACCATTGTGGTTATAAAACTATTTTCACTTTTCTTGTTCGGTCATTTGACCATTGTGGTTATAAAACCATTTTTACTTTGCTTGTTCGGTCATTCAACCATTGTGGTTATAAAACCGTTTACCTGTTATGGTTATAAAACCATTTTTACTTTGCCTGTGCGGTCATTCAACCGTTGTGGTTATAAAACCGTTTTCACTTTATTTGTTTGATCATTCGACTGTTGCAGTTATAAAACTGTTTTCACTTTACTTGTTCAGTCATTCGACCGTTGCGGTTATAAAATCGGTTTTACTTTACTGGTTTGGTCATTCCACTATTGCAGTTATAAAACCGTTTTCACTTGTTCAATCATTCTATCGTTGTGGTTATAAAACCATTTTTACTTGCTCGGTCGTTTGACCGTTGCTATCCCATTCGTTCGATTTATCTGATCGTTATAGTTTCTTAATCGTTTTTGCTTTTCTCGTTTGGTTGATCCGATTGTTGTGGTTTTCTAACCGTTTTTATTTCATTCGTTCGATCAATTCAATCGTTGCTATTTCCTAACTGTTTTTACTTGTTCGGTCATTCAACCAATTTTTACTTTACTTGATTAGTTGCTCAATTGTCAAAATTTTTTTTTTGACTTATTCTTATCTTTTTTTTTTTCCATTCTTAACAAAAAGAAAAGAAAAAAGGGGCAACTGTTATAACTCAAATTTGAATGGAATTTTATTATTTTTTAATTGAATTTTATTATTTTTTAACTAATATGTTTTGTCCTTGTTAAGTTCATAAGCAAAATGGGGATTTTTGCAAAGAAAATTGGAAAAGAAACTTAAGAAAGGGAACTCAATTGAAGAAATCAAAAGTTGGAAGCAAGAAATTCATCAAGATTAATTTGCAAACCCAACACCAACCCATTTCAATTGAGCCCACTAAATTATCCAAACCCAAAACCCACAAAAACTCAAAGCCCAAAAACCCAAGCCCACCATTACCTAAAACCCAAAACTCAAAACCCAAAAGGCCTAAAGCCCCAATTAAAAACAAAACAAAAAAGAAAAAAAAAAAAAAAGAAGGTCTTCCCCTTTCTGCAACCCAAATCCCCTTTGCTCTACTCCCTCTACCCTGCACCGAGTCCAGACCCTTAGCCTTGCTGCCTGCACCCTTGCTGCTGCACCTGAGCCTACAGCCGCCTACGCCCCTTGCTGCCTACGCCCTTGCTTGCTTTGCACCCTAGCCTTACTCTATACCATATCCCCTCACCCCCTGCACACCAGCAATCACACCCTCTGCACACTGGCAATCATACCCCCTACACACTGGCAATCATGCCCTTGCATGCCTGGCCTTGCTTTGGTGGGAAAAAGAGGACCTAGATGGCAGTGGCATGTTTGATGATCTCAGTTTGATATTCGATCTTCTAATGATTGCCCATTCATCTGGTGGGAGAGAGAGGACCCAGCTCGAATGGGAGAAACTCTTGGAGAAAGGAGGCTTCCTTAGATATCAAATTGTCACTGTTCCTTCTCTTTTGGCCATTATTGAGGCATATCCTAAATAGCATCAAACTAGCTACCCGTGGCAGTTTTTTCAATTAATAGAACTTATTGATAACAAGATATCGCAATAACTACAACTCGAAAAACCTAGCGATGTTTGGTTATAAATTAAATAATTCGATGGTTTCTTAAGGAAGCACTTTTCCTAGGAGACTTTTGAGGTAAACTTTTCACTTGTTTAATCATATGTTGTATTGTATTTCTTAGGTTATGTTCTAGTGGTTAAGAACTTAAATATTCATGTTGGAGATTTCAAGTTTGAACTTGATGAAATCATTAAAATGTATATTTAAAATATGCTTAACCATTGACATTTGTGGAATTATGGGTTTAAGAGTTGCATTTTTCTACAAGTAATTTCATAATTGTTCATTTCATTCATGTTATGCAAATTTTTGGTGATTGAAGGTTTAATAACTAAATGGAGAGAATTAGAAGAAAAGGACTCAAATGCAAAGAGCCACAAAGATGAGGGTCCAAGGATCAAATTTAGAAGTTTGAAGGCTCAAGTGAGATTTCTCCATTTTTTATTAAGGAGCAAATTGTAGAGAAAAAAAATATGATGATCAACTTGCATGGAATCTAGGAGTTAGGGACCAGGACTGTTATTTTGCCATTAACCAAAATTGCACAAAGGCCAAAAACCCAACATCCAATTAGCGCTTCACTTAAGGTGCCAGCACTTTGTTGAGGGTCTCGATCCTTTATGCGATTTTTTAGCCAAACCGTATATATCCTAATTATTTTGATGTGGGTCCCACAACCATTATAATTAAGGTTTTTGAAATCCTATAAATACCCATCCATGTTCAGAATTGAGGAGGTTGGAGAGGTTGTTCCTAAGTTTCTATTTTCTTCTTTTCCAAGGCTAAAGAATTATGTCAAAGCACAGAGTTTGACTTGTTATTTTATTTTAATTTTTTCATAGATTTTATTGTTTAATTTTATTTTTGAGAGATTATTACTTATTTTCATATTTGAAAACTCTAAAAATTATATTCATCAAATTTCATTTAAGATTAGTCATGCTCTTTTTATGTGTAATTTGTTCGAATATAATTAATTGGTAGATTTGTTTTCTGGGTTGATCCTTTACTACAATATTGTTATATTGTTACTCTCAGATAGCTCATAATGATAGATCAGTTTGTTCTTTATTGAAATTAATTTCTCTCAAAGTAAATACATTAATTATTATTATTGGTCTTCAAAGTTAAATCTTCCGATTGTTTGTTTGGGATGTGAAATATGCAATTGAGTAATAAATAGAAATCAAAATTTATAACAGTTGAATAAATCAATTAAGTGAACCCTAAAGTCTTGTCTATCATAATATTGTTTTCAATCCTCTATAGTTATCATCTTTTATCTAAATATTTTTATTCTTAATTTTAGAAATCATCTTTTAAGTTAATTGCTCATTGTGACAACTCTTTTTGTTGGTTTAATATAGCTTCTCTATGGATTCGACACCTGAAGTTACGCTACAACAATTGCTTAGCCAAAGGGTATTAATTTTGGGGTGAGACATCAAAACTTGAGATGAGTGAGGAGGAGTTTGGGAAGGAGAGAGTTATCTCCTATTGTATACCCATTATCCACTTTAACAAAAAAAAATTTGCATATATATTATATTGAATAAATTATTAATTATAAAAAATGCCTTGTTGAGTGTAAAATATTGTTATGATTGCATTTTTACTCCTTCTATACTTTGTCCACAAGACAAGATGAAAATGTCCTAAAAATTTTCTAGGTAGAGTCGTCTATGGGGTTAGGATTTGACTTATTTGGCAATTGAAGTCTAAGAGCCATAAGATCTTTGGTTGCTATTTAGGACTTTCGTTAGGCTTTTTCTTCCCATACTATCTTTTCTTTTGCCTTTGTGTTTTTGGTGAGCAAGATCATAGCAAGATCTTAAGCCAAATGAAGATGCGATCAATGGACCAATTTATTGCAAAGTTGGGTACCTGTTTGTTGCTATGGAAAAAGAGGACCAAAGCTTGTGTCTGAAGAAGATCCCAATGACTAGATCACTACTGGATGCCCTTGTACCACATAATGTCTCAATTGATGGAATTTAAAGTGCATGTGACTTGATGTTACACTTTTGGGTTTGTTGTAGTTTATAAATTCATTTAAGGTATTGACTATGAAAAGAAAAAATGTCTAGAGGCAAATGGGGGGGTTTGGCCTTCTTGTTTTGTAGACACTTTATCAGTGGCCTCTTGAGGATGGTCTTCATGTATGCATTGCTTTCCTAAATTATATGAAACATCGATGGAGTGATAAAATAAGGAGCAAAAGAGTTAGGTGGGTGAAGGACCCAAAGTACATCCCTTGTTAGGTCCCTCACATATGGTCTCAGTTATAGAAGTATTGGATACTGTTGAGTCAATGAGCTTTGGCATCTATGAGATGAGGATAGTTAGCATCATCATTAATACAAAAAATAAATATATTATATATTGTTTAATTGTAAGTTATGTGTTGTATTAGACTAACATATTTATCATAATGTAAGTTTTTGAAAATCAGACAAAATCAAGAGATGTTGTTTAGCTTGGCTATCAAGAAAAATACAAGGAAACAAACTCACCTTCAAGAAAAAGGTGCAAAAGGGCCAAGAGCCTCAATGGATAAATGAGAAAGTAAAAAACCAACATATAAGTAGATGTAAAATATATGATAACTTGATATGTATGTATGAGTGAAAGTAATATATATTTGATTTATTTAAAATTGCTTAGGATAGTGGTTTGTTTCTTATGCATTGTTTTCAATCTAGCTTATAATAATATTTTTTATTTTTAGGTTTTCAAGATTGATGTAGAACAAGAAGCAAAGGTGAGAATAGAACTTAGAAATAGAGGCAAGGGTTGGAAGAGAATACTAGAATTAGGGATTTTTAGAAGATAATCTCAATTCATAGACACTTCAGCTGAATAACCCTAACACAACTTACATTTAAATATAAAAGCTAAAAACTGAAGTTAGACTTACTTCCTAACTAGACTCTCAATTGAACCTTTATTGAAAGATAATAATAGATCCTAATAAATATAAGCTACTAGTAATGTTTCCATTTAATTCCTATATATTCACAATCATAATAAAATCCTAATAAGTATACTATTTCCTTCCTTATATGCATCAAAGATACTTATGTATCACAACACACAAAGAGACATGGCCTTGATGTAACTCGATGGCCACAGTTGGATAAGCAGGCATGGGACACTACTGTTGGGTGTTGCTCCTCAAATTTCATGCTTGGGATTTCGTCCCCTCATGAGAGTGAAGAAGCATCTATAATGCTTTCCTTCTTGCTCTTCTCTTTGCAGGGTAATCTCATTCCCTTTTGTTTTTCTTTCTACAGATGTAAATTTCCAACATTGTTGCTGCTGGAGGATGAATTAGGTTAGACATGCCCATTAGCTCAATATGTTTTTGTTATTGTCATAACCCAATTTTTATTAGGGGCTAAATGATAAAATTAGAAGTCCATGGACTATTTTTGTAAAAGCATGAAACTTGAAGGGCTAAGGGGAAGAATTAGCAAAACGACATCGTTTTACTTGTAGATTGAAATAAAGATAAATCCTAGGAACCCTAGTTGGCCAAAACTCACATCCCATTGCTCTACCACTAGCCCCTTTCAAACAAAAAAAAAAAATCACAAAATTTCCTTGGCTTATCCATAAATCTACTCAAGTTTTGAAGAAATTTTCGAAGATTGAAAGTCATCATCAAGAGTCGTGGAAAAAGAGTTTGAAATTGATTCAAAGTGGGGAGTTCTAAAGCATAAAAAGTATGAATCTAGATTTGAAAAGGGTAGATGTGGGAAAAACTAAGAAATCCCATTCCAAATAGGATTGGGTTGTTATCTTAGGGATTTGGATTAGGACTTAGAATTAGAAAAGGATTTGAGTTCTCTCTATTTCTGTATAAAAAAGGGCCTTCGACTTTAGAGAAGGGGCATTCAAAAAATAAAAGAAAAAATAGAGAAGAAACTGAGAGGTTGAGAGAGAGAAAAAGGGCAGAAACCAAAGGAAGGAAAAAAAGGAGGAAAAAATTCGAGAGCTAAGAGAGAGAAAAAAAGAAAAGGTTGTGAGGTGTGAAACAGAGGAAGAAGTCAAGAAAATCTTTTGTATTTGTGAAGGCTTCAACAAATAAATAATTTTGGATTTCTTCTCTTCTTCACGTGTGTGTTTTTAGAGCATGAAAGAATTTGGAGTTTGAATAATCTTTTCTTTTTCGTCCTTTCTTTTGTTGTCGGTAATTGCTTGAAGGTATGAATCTAGACTTGAAAAGGGTAGATGTAGGAAAAACTAAGAAATCCCATTCCAAATAGGATTGGGTTGTTATCTTAGGGATTTGGATTAAGACTTAGAATTAAAAAAGAATTTGTGTTCTCTCCATTTCTATATAAAAGGGGGCCTTCGGCTTTGGAGAAGGGGCATTCAAAAAATAAAAGAAAAAACAAAGAAGAAACTGAGAGGTTGAGAGAGAGAGAGAGAGAGAGAGAGAGCAGAAATTGTAGTAAGGAAAAAAAAGAGGGAGAAATCCAAGAGTTTGAGAGAGAAAAAAAAAAGAGGTGGCGAGGTGTGAAACAGAGGAAGAAGTCAAGAAAATCTTGTATTTGTGAAGGCTTCAACAAATAAATAATATTGGATTTCTTCTCTTCTTTAGGCGTGTTTTTTTAAAGCATGAAAGAATTTGGAGTTTGAATAATCTTTTCTTTTTCTTCCTTTCTTTTGTTATCAGTAATTGCTTGGTTTCCTTTTTAAATTGTTTCTTTTCGTGGTTTGTCTGCAATTGATTGGTTGTGCCCTTGCCGCAAACATGATTTCACTTGCTTCCCTCATGTTCTATATATGATTTTTAGGAATTATACTAGTAAAATTTTTTTTTAATTGAATTAGTTACTTGTCACTTGTCTATCATTAAAAGTTTATGCTTGAATGAGGGTATAGATATTTATGAAATAGTTTGTGTTTCCTATGATCCAAAGTAATCACTTGCAGAATTTTTTTTTTTTAGTTTTAGGAAGAGTTAGTTTTGTTTTATTCATGAAGTTGTTTTTAGGATTTGTTATTATTTACCTTAAGAGAGGCATTAGATAGAAGGGGAAAAAAAAGAATAAAAAGGAACTTTCTTAGGAAATATGAAGTGGGTGTAGGCACTAAAAAAAAAAAATGAAAGAGTGGAAAAGTGTAGGAAAAAAAAAAGAAGAAAAACACAGGAACAAAAAAAAAAAGAAGAGAAAAGGTTAAACCCCCATTTTGGTCCCTCAACTATCGTACGGACCCCCGACTTAGTCCCTCAACTC